TCTATCTATCTATCTATCTATCTATCTATCTATCCATCTATCTATCTACTTAGCTAGCTAGCTATCTTAGTCAGTCTTTATCTATCTTTTTTCCTATTTATTTTAACAGTATGTGTTTTTATTTCAAATTAATACTAGTTAATTAATACTTACTTCTATATTAATTCATCATGGCTTTTACACATATTATATCACTAAATGATTTCCTTGAATTTCTGTCACCTGACGACGCACTTATCAGAAGTTCTCCAATGACATCTAAAAAACTTTGCCTTCAAAATAATAAAGTTATTAACTGAACTTTGAATTTTGAAGATAAATGCATGAATCAAGATAAATGATAATTCTTTGGGTACAAGATTTGCAGATATGGCGTGTGAGGAGGAATTACATATTCCAGCTTCGTGTTGCCATTTTTATGCTGATTTGCATGTTGATTCCAATATTTACGAAGTTTTCCACAAGAAACTTAAGTCAAATGAACATTTTGTTCACATTTGTACAAGTTTTGTCATACAGCAATTCTTGTCCTGTAAATGGCGTTTGGTCTGCAATTGCAGTGTTCAAAATTCGAAGTTAACGTCCATAATGACTTGCAATAAAAAAAAAAAAATTAGCAACTCATAATACAATTCGTCTTTCATACCCTGCTCAAATGTAAGGTAATATTTTTCCTAGGTTTTGACGTTTTGATGCTGATCTTGTATGTTGTCTTAGATCCACCCACGATTCTGGATGCTCTGGATGCTCGGGATTACCCTGGTGGATTACCTTTTCATTTGCAGGCAAGACCTGAAATCCAGATGTTAGGATTCATGTAGAAACATATTAAATACGTTGTCTCCTTCAGAAAAGGTCTTTCGACCATTGAGTGAGTGACACCAAGCTTTTGGGTCAATTCCAACGTTGACTGAATATATTCATCAACTAGAAGACCCAGCAAGATACCAGTTAGGAATTCTTTTCAACCGACACTGCGTGAGGATTCTTCAAATCAGATTTGTCTTTATTGAACTTCGAAAACTAAATACAAGTATCCTTTACAAAGCTATACTACACAGGAATGCAAACAGTACTTCAACAGACTTCAGCCATCACGTTTGTTTCTTCGTCTATCTTGTCCAACTATAAACAGAGCATGTTTATATATATATATATATATATATATATATATATATATATATTGGACATACGACTACATGCTTATCAAGAAGACTCAGGTTACACCTCGCTGACTACAGCTCAATTAGTTCACATTTAAACATACACGAAAAATTATCAAACTCTATCCATGACATACTAGCAGAAAATGCAAGGATACTAATCTCATCCACATGTAAGAAAAGACTAGAAATAATGGAAGCACTGACAAGAAAAAGAAAAATTCAACATTCATTATCATCAGCTATGAACATGGCCAAAATATGCTGATCGTGTTTGGAAAATAAAAAGTATTCCCATTACTCTAGAAACATATATAATAAGATATGCATTCAGTTAAAAATAAAAAAGTAAAAAAAAAAACAAACTTTGATCATAGCTAAAAGAATAGCCGAAAGCCCTCGAAAATATTATATATGGACAAGTTTTATACACTTTCTATCAAGAAAACACTTATACAAACACAAAAGAATTAAATAAAAAGCTTAATCGCAGTACCTTATCAATCATCTTGAATGAAAACTTGTATAAAATGGGAACAATTATATATATATATATATA